TCAGTTAGCTTACTACCCACTGTGGTCAGTTAGGTTTTCGAGACACGTGTAATAATGCTACGAGACTTCACGAGACTGCTCTGTGAAGAAATGGTCTCCGGTCTCAATAAGACCACCGCAAGGAGACACTGATTTGCTTGGTCCTGTATTTTTGATGACTGACATTTTGTTTATTTACATGTTGTTGTTTATTTGTTTGCGTATTATGTGTTCCGGCACGAATATTAGTACAAATAGCTTAACTAGATGTACATTGTCGTCAAGGTAATTTGTTTTTTTTATTGAGTCTTGTGATTTATCATGTCATTACCAAGTGCACACTGATTTTGGGAGTTATGTTGTGACAGCTAGTGTGTGGATCTGTTCATTTATACTTCGCATTTGCAATTTTATTTTCCAGAATCTGATAAAGTTAAAATAATTTAGCAGAATGTCGCACTATGACAATTTAATCAACGTCGTAATTATTTCTCCAATATCCCTCCCTGTCCTTTTTTAAATTAAAATTAACAATACAAAAAACCACACAACTATTTCAGAAACTGGGTGAAAAATGAAAAGAAAAATAACAGATTAACCGTGATCAAACCTTGTTTACAATAATCAACATACCACAACTATTTGCCTTCAATCATGTGATTGATACCCAGAATTCACTCTCCTCACATGCTTCCTCATCCTCTAATTACAAAATACAATCCCTTCAAATTCACAAACTGCATTATCCTAACTATCCACGTTACCATTCAGAGATCTCCTTACCGAAGAATTCAGAAGCCAATTAGGTCTAGAGGATGCTCAACAAAACAACGAGGCAAAACTGAAAGATCTATAATCGTCTGAATATACCTCTCGTGAAAGTTGCATTGATGTCTGGAACGTCAAAATTACGCATCGGTATTCGTGATCGCGTTCGTCATTCGGGAGCAGCTCCATCATGCCCCGAAGGCTAGAATGAACTTGTAACGTTCAAGGAGCGTGGGAAGCATACCTGCGTTAATCCTCCCTCTGTCCTCCTCCTTGCTAACCAATCACCACGAGTCTCGCCCTCTCTCCCTCGATTCACCAATTACTCTGGACGTCTCCGTTGACTTATAACGGGTCACCTCTATTTCAAATGGCTCTCCCTCAATCACGTTAACTACAAAATCTTTAAATTTCAAAACAATCGAAATAAACGGCCTGCAAATTAAAAAACATCAACTGGAATGTTTTTGTTTTCCTTTGTCCACAAGTGGTCTCGCGTGATGCCGGCGTGTGCCCGCGGGGGCGTTCGGGAGTCCCAGGGATATCTCCTCGCGTGTCCTGCGAATATTCTGCAGGTGTGTGCTTCTCTCGTGGTGAAAAAGAAAAGAAGCGAAGTGTTCCCGCTGGCGAAGACGAGAATTGCGAGCCGGTGCGTACTTCAAACGTGGGCGGATCTTGCGGGTGGTGCCTACGGGTGATTCTCACCCATACGAGTGGGATGTTTTTCGGAGGGAGAGAATACTCGATCATTTCAGGAATTTTCGTTGTTTTGAAAGCATTCGCAGGAAGCAGTTGAAAACATCGAGAACAAAAACTGAAGTTCTAAACAACGAAATGTCCAGGAAACGATCCTCGATTTCTCTCAGAATTCTGAATTCACGCTTGCGAAAAGTGATGAGCATTCTGGCGATCATGTTTACCGGGGATATTACCTTGTTGACCTAGTAACAATTCATGTAACGGTATTCATGTTTGCATCGGAATTGATTTCTGTTGAATAGTTGGAGATAATTGTAGTGGAGAGAACGGTGGCAATCCTTATTTCTACTGCTATTGACCTGAGTCGAAAGATTTGGTCGATTTTCGATTGATTTGTCCGGGGATGGCCAGTTGAAGACCAGAAAATTGCATACCTTGGTCAAAAACCGACCGTTTTGAACGGTTTTTGACCTAACGTGTTTTTACAACCACTTTGGTCTGCCCAGCGACAATAAGTGAATGGGCCAAACACCGGCAAAATGCGATTACTACCCGGAGAGGATTAAATAGAAATATTACCATGGCCATAGGAACGATTACTACGGTAACATAATAAAAGGGTTTTCAACTGTCCCCACATAGTAATCTTTACTATGTCCCATGGTAATGGTTACGTTGCCACATAGGAATGTCCTTAAAAAATTTGACAATTATTGAAAGTCAAAACTGCACTTTGAGTGAGTACAGGATCCTTAAAAATTCTAGTTTCTATCCTTTAAGGGGTAACAGACAGCCATCGTTTCCTCAAATTTTGGAAAGAAATTCCCTGTTTAAAGTTATTAATATTTTTCGAATTCAACGTGCATTGATCTTCATTATGTCCTCCTTAAGATCAATATGCTTCGATTTTTGAAAATATAGATAACTTTCGGCAGAAAATTTGTTGAAAAATTTGGAAAATTAATGGTATTGGGTTACCTTTAAAGTGCACGACTAGATTTCCTTTATAATTTACGAAGGAATAATTTATTAGTTTATTGATAAAATGTGTCTCCCTATCTCTAATTTTAGGTTAACAAGCACTAAACAAGATGAAATACTAAACAGCATAGGAAAAAATAAAAACTCTCAGAGATAAAGTCGGTTTTTGGCTTGAAAGTTGCATACCCAGGTCAAAAACCGATCTGGAAACTAGTCCAGAAACCGGATGTGTCACTGCGTTGACCTAAGATCAAATTTTTCTACTCGGAGACACCTTTTAATATCTACGATTGTGTCAAGCATTGTTGTCTATTGTGTAGTGAGCCAAGGCGCTCTTGGAATACTTGATTTCAATATAATCTCAGATCAAATGCTACGTTTGTCTCATTCTCCAGGTGCTTTTTAAACCCGTCTATCCAACTTTCCAACCTTTCTACCATCTGAAACCAGAATGGTCAAAGACGGGATGAAAAGTTATTAGTCATCAGTGTCAAGAGATTGTGATCAAGAAAAAATTAAGTGCGGAGTAAAATTATATCCCTATCTATTTATGAGGTTTTCGACGCTATTTCAATGACAAATAATTTTTTTTCTAGATTTTGATATAGATTGATTATTGTTGCGTATTCCCCCTTCGAACCCTTGTATCACCTGAACATCCCTACTAGAAATTTTATTCGGCAAACCTTCCGGTCCTGATGAGGCATGCCGAGCGTAATGTTCGGTGCTAGCTCGGTCAGCCGGATTCGGCCCGGACCAAAAGCGTTACACGTTTTTCAGGTTCGGGCCGGGTGATGTTGACCGGAAGTTTGCCGGATGATATTCTATTGATTAATTAATTATTAATCATAAGTTGATTCACTATGCGAAAATAAATAATAAATAAATAAATGGTGGTTCCGGGACGGCAAGGTCAAGAATACAAAAAAAAAATATTACCCGACCAGTACTTGAACCTGGAACCTCTTGATCCGCAGTTCTGTACCTTATCCACTCGCCCACCGTATCATTCTTGAAAACGGACATCACTTTTGCGTATATCAACAGTACTCGCAATGGTGAATACCATTGAATTGACCCTACGACGAGTCAATCAGTATGATTTCCCCACTAATCATCTCACCTTCCCTCCAACCCCTACCTCCCCTTTCCCCTCCCATTTAAATTTTTTTCTCAATGAAAATTTCTCCAAGTCCCGCACGGCATGCCTTATCTGGGCCTGATCAGGGCCGGATTAGGTTGGCCGTACGGGACTTAGATGAATACTTCACCCGACATGCCTAACAAAAAACGAGACTCGCGCCGGATTCGGCTTGCCGAATGGGGTATGCCCTATCTGGCCCCTTTGTGGCCCTAACAAGGCATGCCGTATGCGGCATGCCGAACGAGAACCGAGACTCGCACCGAATTCGGCGGGCGTTAGATCCGGCATGCCGAGTGAAACTTCTAGTAGGGATATTCCCGCCTCCACCCTAGAAGACTGATTGTCAGTTGAACGAGAAATAAACGAAGGTAGACGGACTGTCTCTGATCGGCTTGCGGTAAACATCGTCTGAATAAATTGGGATTCATTTATTTATCCATGGAGTATTGCATTTTATTGACTGACTGAGGGGAAATCTCTGCGAAGCAGGAAGTTTTCGAGCGAATATCAGTGGTATCCCGGGGCCGAATTGCCGATGCTGTTCAATCGGCCAAGGTAGGTGAAATGCATGGGTAAATAAGAATTAATAATACACTGGATGATAATTGAACAATGACAAAACAATTTTTTATTGACAAAATATCAATTTTTTAACAATGTCATGAGTTGTGTAGTTCAAGGCTCTTTTTTGGATTGTCCCATCGATATTTCAGGTTTTCTTTATCTGAAACAAAATTATGATTGATTTCCATGATTAGGAAGAATATAAGTATCGGTACACCGCTGGACTTTAAAGAAGGAAGAAAATTGATGAAAATACAGCAATTGTTTAGTAAGCCGTGCTGCGCGGCATCGGGCAAATACACAAAAAAAATCGGCCATGAAAAAAATTCCAGTGCGTGGAACTCATGCGAAGCGATAAAACAATTCAAGTCAATTCAGCTCTTAGCTGAGTTTCTATATTAGGAATATTTTCGCATCTAAGGGGGACAACAAAGTTTTTGTAATGACCCTTTCTGTAGCTCTCAATCCACGCTAAAAGCGCCTAAAAAATACACTTGGTCTAGGTTCTGTAAACTCTGAAAAGGATTTCCTCCCGAAAAAATTGTCTGAACTGCTTGGATATCCTTAAATTTGAACGATTACGAAGCTTCCATTCAGAACCAAAAAACTTCCAAAGGATATGCATATTCTGAAAGTCATCACGAATCATACGAAATTGAATAATCGTCAATGCCCATCTCACTCACGTTTACCATACTCATTGTTTAAACATATTCGTATAAATTTCATGCTGATAGCTCATGCCATCTATTAGAAGGAAAAACAATAACAATACTTCGAATGATTTATATAAATACCATAGATGGCATTATTATCAGGTCATGTTAGACTACATTATATCACCGCTATTATACATTCAAGTATTGTTAAAAAACGTGGCAGGTTGCAAATTGACGATTGAGATTGTAGAAATGGACTCCCTATCCTTCGCGTGCTCCAGTTTAGTCATTTCAATATGTTGCACAATAAATCGAGTTTCTGCAGTGCAATCCGAGAATCCTCCGAATATTATAGTGATACTGGCTGATGACCTTGTAGGAATTCTATTCAGACTGATAAGGTCATGTAGAGGTAAAACAATTTAATTTTTTTTTTATTTCGAGGGTTGGAATGATGTCAGTTTCCATGGCTCCAATGAAATTCCAACACCCAATATTGACTCTGTGGCTTACAACGGGTTGATACTGCGGAACCACTATGTATTGCCTACTTGCACACCTTCTAGGACTGCATTCATGACCGGGCGTTATCCCATACGAAGTGGTATGACGCATAGTTTTTATTCATAGCTGATAGATTGTTAGAAAAACAAGTGGACAATTGCATTTTTTTTACAACATTAGCAATTTGTTTCCGATTAGTCAATAATGGTTACATGACAATCATATTTCTGTGACCTAACGCTTTTTCATTCGTGACGTCACCTCGCATCTCTAAGAAGGCTTAAGGGGTCTCCGCAGTTGCGATGGGCGCGCGGGTGAGTGGAGTGTAAAATAAGCAAGTTAGGGAGGTTAGTTTCGAGAGAGACGGGATATCAAACATGGCGTATGTTGGATAATGACAGACATTGCCAAGGTATTTTTATCGCTAATCTATTGAACAAATCAACGATAAAGCCTTATGGAACTTCATGATCACATTTTTCAGAGCTTAATATAAATAAATAGAGCTTCCTTTGCTGGCTAGCACCTTGTCAACAGTATGATGGGTAAGGGACAAATTGGCGTTCATAAAGCCTGTGTATAAGGCGATGTTTCACTAATTAATTAGACACGAACGAAACCATAAAATTACTTGGCATTTCTTTTACAAATTGTGTTTTAAATTTTTTTATTATTATATGATATATTTAATTCGCTAGCACCTTGTCGTATTTTGGGCAAAAGTACTGCGGAGACCCCTTAAATTGAGATTTCCAAGTCGCAAATTAAGGCTCTTGAAACTTTCAACTTAAGCTTCAAATTAAGACTTTTGAAAATCTTATTTTAAGATCTTCGAAATCTTAAAATCAGGGCTGCGCACGAGACCTAGATGAGATTTCTCTTTGAAGAGAAAGTCTAAAAAAACATAGAAATTTTTGGAACTATCTCAGTCTCAAAAGGCATACTATTGTCTCCTCTGGTCATGACTTGGAGATAATTTGTCTCGTCACAGTCTTCACTTTTTTCGGTTTTTTGCTTCCGAATGGAAGCATTGTCATCGACCAAATTTAAGTTTTCGATTTTTTGTGTTATATCAACCCATTATGATCTATAAAGTCCGAAAATGCAATTTTTAGACCGCGTCCGTACGTGTGTACGTATGTACGTATGTAACAAACTTTTTCTTCAATTATTCGCCAGTTCAACAATGCAATTCAATTTTTTTTTCTCAAATGTAGGTCTTACTGAGCCCCATCTACTGCCATTAATTGAAATTCAATTTATTAACGCATTTTTAAAATTTTCGAATTTCTTCAAAAAATGGTTTTTATGATAACTAAAAAAAATGTTTCTAATTCATTAAATAACGGCTTAAAATTTTTTTTGAGATGCTCTTTCGACCGAGTTCGAAGATGAAGACAATAGCAGTAATCGTTACTGTGATTTTTATGAAAATTGGCAATTTTTTTTTTGAAAATCAGAATTCCGCAGATATTTTTGGATTCCTGGCTTCGAATGAATTGTATCGTGGCTTGAAATGTTTGTATTGATGCCCTTAAGTTGAACGATGGTTACGATAACTGCCTCCGTTGATTTAATTTTTTAATGATAATTTTCAGAAATTCCAAATTTTTCATCAGTTTCCCAGACAATTAGCTTTTTCATGGTTTCTTCAAATGTGATGTTTCAAACTCAATCAATTATGAATTAATACATTTTTTTCAATGATATTCTGTTGAAATTTTGTTATCATATAAATAGTATCATTCTTTCATTTGATTCATACAAGAATTTCAGGAATCGCTTACGGTATTCGAAAGTTTGTTGCCTTTCCATAATTGTGGAAAATACACTTTCGTTGATTACACGGTTCGACAAAATTCGGACGTAGTCGACCTCAAAAACGAGACTGTGACAGCCTAATGTTGGAGGGAATCTGGCGGAAAAGGAGCGTAAAATCGTACAAAATTAGGGGACCACATCCGAATTTTCGGGTGAACTATCCGAAATTTTTTGTGTGCCCTGTTCGGTCCTACAGCTAGTGGGTTGCACCCTAATTTTTGGAGGGACTCGTAAGGAATTGTCATTTTGCTTATGAATGGAAGGTTTGTAAAATCGGTCGATTTTTTGCTGTCCATATAGGCCCCACTCTCTCGACGGGACGTTGTATACCAAAAAAAATCCAAATGGATTGAAAAATCACGTCTTTGAAGAAGAAGAATTCTATGATAAAGTATGAGCCCATCTAATAATAAATGACTTTATTAAAAGAATTTGGCGCGAAATAAATGATAAAAACATACAAAAGAGGTGATACTTCGTAGACTAGGAATGAAGATAAAAGAATTACGAGAAAGAAGGAGACAATCGTCAAGAAGACATTGGGAAGAATATTTTAAATCACAATTGGAATCGAATCGCAATTACATTCAAACTATTATATTTTCAGTTGTCACCGAAACACACACATACACACACATCCGGACATAGTCTAAAAATAGAATTTTCGAATTCCTAAGGGCAAAATTAGTGATCCTGACATGAAAAATATGAAATTTCGGATTTGACGAACCCAATGCTTCGATTCGAAGGCAAAAAACTCCCCCC